ATAGGGAAACAAAATACGCGCTCCTCCCCACCTTGTTCCTGCCTTTGTACGCGCCTGATGCGGCCCTGAAACGTCCAACGCAACAGAAGACGATCAACATCACCTGCAGGTGGCGCCAGCTAAAGCAACACGAATCATTGTTGGGAGAGCGAGCGGCGAGATGGACGTTATTACAAGACGGGCGGCCCTTGTGGCGCTACTCTACAGCGCGGTAGCTACAGCACATGACCACGATATGGGTAAGATCCAAGAAGGAAGCTCCGTTTCCGAGGACCCAATCGTACGTCTCACCAAAGAGGGAATCCGCATGGGTAAAGGCTAATGTCTAGCAGGACTCGATACTATGGACACACATTCTGATCCAGTCGCTCGCATGGGGCATCCTCTTCCCCACGGGCATGGTGTTAGGCGTATGATGGCCGATGAAGATTCACGAACGCGCAGACTAACGCCTCTTTAGATAATACGATCGAAATGGCACGTCCCCGTCCAGAGTCTCGGCACCCTCCTCGCGATTATCGGCTACTTCCTTGGTCATAAGCATGGAGGCAGACAGTTTACTGAAGACAACATTCACGCTAAATTCGTCCCGGTCATCATGCTTATGTTGGTCTCTCAGGTGGCCATGGGCATCTACCTGAAGCTCCACCTGGAAAAGGGCATCAACGGAAAGATTCGCAACGTCGTAGTCAAGGTGCACGGCGTGGTCGGAAAGGCTTTGCCAGTGGTGACTTGGGTGCAATTCCTCTTTGGCGGTATTACCGCCCTGGGCTTCTGCAGGGCAGACCATACTGGGCAGTGTTTGGCGCATTTCATCATGGGCAGCGCTTTCATCGCATATGGCATCATCTTGCTGATCCTGCTTCTGGTCGGACAGATGTGGCTGCGGAGGACCGGCAGGAGCCAGGAATTCTTCGATTCGCTCGTCATCGCCGCCTGGGGTTGCGTCAATACCTTCACCGAACACCGATGGGGAGGACCCTGGGTACACAACGATTTGCAGCATACGTCCATGGGCATTGTATGGTGGGCAGCCGGTCTGGTTGGCGTCTGGCTCAGCCGCAAGAGGAACGGGCAGCCAAAGCGCAACTTGATCCCAGGCATTGTGATACTCATGACCGGGTGGGCCATGTCTGCGCATCCTCAACACCTGCCCATCTCGACCATGATTCACACCGTCTTTGGATATACCCTAATGGCTGCGGGTGCTGCACGCATAATCGAGATCTCATTCGTGCTGAGGGACCGAGCCTCGGTGGCGACTGACGGCTCAGACCCGAACAGTTTCCAGTACATGACACCGTTCCTGTTAATGGCCGGTGGCTTCATGTTCATGGGCGCAACAGAAGAGCAGATGCAGCTGCTTTCTGATGCGAACGTCACCCACGTTTCTTATGTGTTGATCTTGTTCAGCGTTGCTTTCTTGCTGTTCCTTTGTAAGTATTCCCTTTACGTTTCTATTTGCCAAGCTAACCCTCTGCTAGTCGTCAACATGCTCATCCACCTATATGCCGTATACGCCTGGGGTGAGGACAGCAAAGCCGATGCCGAAGCGCCACCCATGAATGGGCTAGCCAATGGCCATGCGAACGGCTACACTAGAGTCGATCGCAGAGTAAGAGACGCAGAGGAGTTTGAGCTGGAAGGACTCGATTCCGATGATGAGGATGACAATCCGCCATATGTGAGTAAGGAGAGCAGGGCGCATGCCGCGCAGCATTGATGAGTATTTTCTTTCATAGCATACCTATCAGTATCTTAGCGCATGGGTGGCGTTGTAGCAGGAATCGTCCTCTTTTGCATTATGGTTGGTTTCCACGGCCACGTTTCAGTACACGAATATACCCTTTCCATTCCTAGCCGCCAACTCTTCCTTTCTCGGATGTAACGTTCCCTCACCCATGTCGAAAATCTCGCAATACAGCCCTGGGATTTGCATTGCGTGGCCTTCAAATTCCGGATGTCCTGTTACAGCCGCACATGTCTCTCTCGCCATCACGCACTCACAATCTCGAACATTCCGCCGGTTGAGCCGCAACGCAGGTACGCAGGTACGCAGATACGCAGCCGGAGCGCGCGTGCGGTCAAAACGGCCACCAATACAAGCCTCGCCTCACGGCACGATGGAAACACAATTTAACAACAAAGCACACTATGACACACGAAATGGCCGTTAGAGGTAATTCGTGTGTCAATGTCGACACCGTGATCTCGCTGCGGTGGGCCTCTGCGGTATAAAAAGTCTGATGATAGTGAGCCGACGCAAGCCGAGTACCACCCTCTCACCACTTCATCGTGAGTATCCGGCGGGAGCTAAGCGGTTAATGGAGATCTGGTTTCCCCACTTGCCTGTATGTGATGTGGTGGCTGCCATGTTGGGGCTAGTCAGGGCACATGTGAAGACGGCGATGATGACGTCTTGCGGTGTGGGTTTCACGTTTTCTTTTACCGTGGCGTTCTGGAACTTGGGTTTGCTGACCCACACACACACATGGCCTAACAATAGTCTGTGTTTTCGAAAAATCTGTCACGATGCACGCGTGAAATCTCACGATCCGGGTGTGTACCTGGTACTGAGGGAAGGGGGGCGTGAGAGAATTTTTCTTGTGTCTTGCCTGTTTCCGAGTCGTAGGAGGTGGGTGTATATAAGGGGCGGGGATGCGGGTTGAGATGGAGTATCATCAGCATTAAACATCAAGTCTACCACTACGAGTACAATCACGCGCTACTCTTCAAATTATATACCACGACCACTCCAACAATCACACTGGTCAACCACATCAACCACCAACCATCAACCAAAACTCTTCCAAAATGAACAACACCGACTCCCATCCCCGCGTCCTCTCCCTCTCCTCTCCCTCCTCCTCCATCCCCGCCACCCCGGCCGCCCACTCGCGCCGCGAATCTATCGACTCAGCCCACGATGCGCACCACTTCGTCGCGCTAGCACAACAGCAACAGCACGAGAATGACGCAAAGACACACCACAAGGTCAACCTGAGCATCAAGAAGATGTGGGATGGCGTCAAGAAGCATGCGAGTGAGCACCATCGCAGTGTTAATGCCGCGTATATGGCGAGTTATGGGTGTGGGTCGCCCGCTGGGGTGAGGAGTTAGATGGGGAAGTTGGGGATTGGGGTTTTGTGGGGGAAAAGATGGGGTGGATGGGGAAAGGAGGAGTAGGACGACTACGTCACCCATGATGAGAACAGCGACGATGAGGGCGACGACGCAAAAGGATTATCTTCAACACGCATGGCAGCATTAAATCCAGCAAGGAGGGACGGAGCGACACCGAAAGTGGATTTTCTTTTTTACGAAAGCATTATACCCCGACGCATACATACTTGGAAACGCCGAGGCATGACTGGAGTTTTGTGTTTTGATACAATAATAATAACAACAAATCTCATCTGTTGAACTGCAGTTTCTTTGTCGGAGATGAGGTGGTCTACATATCTGAGCCTGGCAAAGAAATACTGATGATGAAGAGTTGAAGATGTATTGCAATTGAAATCGAGACGACGAGATAGAAAGCAGTAGGGTTAGGTAATGCCTACCTATGCTCCCAACATTCCCTTTGCCTTTGCATTCGCAGCTAGACGCTAGACTAAACAAAACAGAAATGCCGATCGAGGGCTTAGTAACCCATCAGCACTTTAATTACACAGTCGTGTATTACACACTTATTCGACTATTCTCGCATACATTGACAGGCCCCCCTTACTCTAGTAAAGGCTTCCATCATTAGAATGCGCACGTGTTTTTTACTTGGGAACCTTTTATCCACTCACCTTTTCCTTGGCTATAAACATATCAATCATGAAATGATGACAGGAGAAAGTCGCGTCTCGCGCTCATGCTACCACCGAGGACCTAGCGCCGGACTTTAGGGGAATGGTCCGACATAAACTACGTAGCCAGGTCCCTCATCAGCAGAACACAACTCTAGACTGTATCTGCTTACCCTAACATTTATCTAACGTTGAAATTGTGTAGTCAATCCGTTCCCCAGTATTTAACCCCTCAAGCAGCCCCTACTTCTGCATAACAAGCAGCATTGCCACTTCCAACTTGACCCCAGCCGCAGACTCCATGCCAAACAGCAACATGACAGCAATTCCAATCGTAGTATGCGGCCTAAACCTAGACATTGCAAAAGCAGTCCGTGAGGCAGCACTACCAGAATACGATGGTAAGACAGACCGCATCACCCCAACCATCCCTCATCAACTTCCACCCATGCCCCCCTTAAGTCCAACCCTCTCCTAACCCTCCTAACCACCCCTCCACCCCCAGTAATCCATATCAACCTCTCCGTCCCCGAAGCAAAATCCAGCATCCCCGCAATCCTCTCCAGCACCGCACCCCCATCGACCAGCTCCCCAAACTCGGGTTCGCAAAACTACACCCAGCGGCCTGCAGCCGTCGCGCTGGGCGGCGGTTTCAGCGACGCCATGTTCGAGGAGATCAAGGCTTCATGCGGTGAAGAGAAGATTCTGTGGCTACGCATGGACAACACGCGCAAGACTGATATGCCGGATTTGAGCGAGCGCGAGGCGTTTGGGAGGGCAACGGCGGCGCGGTTGAAGACTTGTCTGCATGGGTTGGGTGCTGGAAAGGAGGGGGCGAAGACGGAGGGTTTGTTTTGGTTTTGAGGGGATTTGGGGAGGAGCAAAGAGGGGAGGAAGACATGTTGGTGGGTCATTGTTTTTAATGCCTTTGTTGCGATGGAGGATGTTCTTTCTTACAATGGATGGTAAATTGAACTACTCGTATTCTAGTTAGCATTAGGTGCTCTCGATGCCCATTACAATTAGGTTCGTCTCCAACACAACTCCCCATGATGAGCACAAGCAAAAACTCAGAAGATAGCTTGTAATCGAAGGCACTGACAATACGCGTCCCCCCCTCTCTCTCTCCCAAAAGCCCTTCACCTCGAAAAATGCAAAAAAGGAACAGAACCACGGTCGCTATTCAAAATTCCAAAAAAGAAAAGGGCCGAACCGGAGTCGAACCGGTGACTTCGGGAATTGAACGTTATGGTGAACTGCAGTCCTACACTCTACCACTGAGTTACCGGCCCTTGGGATGGTGTTGATGACTAAACTTGAAGTTGGTAACATTATAATGTCAATGGTGTTCAGGGAGCAGCGCACAGTCGGGGAGGGTGCGAAGGGGTTCAACGAGGAGGAAGCGGGATACGTGGCAAATACGAACTCGTTGAAGTGAGGGGTAAGGCTCTAGTGGAAAGTGGGGCTGTTCGTCAGCACGAGTCAGAATGGAGGTGTAGAGGCAGGTGCTAGGGAATGTGGATACGAGCGTATGCGCGAGTGAAGAATACGAAAAAAAAAACCGTACAGTGCTTTAATAACAGTAGGGGCTAATAATCTTATATCTGGGGTATCACATCATTCATCTGCGCGAGACGACTAAAACTCCAACTCCTCAACCTCCATGCCACACTCCTCACACCTCTTCTTCGTCATACCCGTCTCAGGATCAAGCACGCTCCTCCCCCACTCATGCTCATGCCTATCGTAGCGTCCTTTAATCTTCTGCCCAAACTGCGCATCTGCACCGTCACCAGCCAGACGGGCGCGCTTGTACGCCTCAACCCTCGTCCTCTTCTTCAAATCTTCCAATTTGTTTTTAAACTTCTTTTGTTTCCGCTCTTTGCTTACAACCTGACGCTTTGCGTATTCCTCGTCGAGAGCCTCAGCAGATCCCCATTTTGCGGGACTGAAGGCGTAGGCTTCGACTTGCAGGCGCAGAAAGAGTTGCATAGGATGGAAGAATTGCTTGTGGGGGTTGGGCCGCTCGAGATGGGGGAGAAGTTCTTCGTCTTTGAGTTCGGGGTCGGTGAGGAGGTAGTCGTCTCTTGCTTCGGTTTTTGTGAGGAGAGAGTATTTGTCGGGGAGTTTTTCTTTGCAAATGTTGCAGACGCCAATGCCGAAGATGTCTTGCCATTTCCAGTCGATTTCTAAACTGTTGCATTCTCGACATTTGCCTTTGACGTCGCGCTTGCCGTCGCCGTATTTGCCTTTGAAGGTGCCGCTCTCGATTTCGGCATTCTCGGCAGCTTCTAAGAGTGCTGCCTCCTCGTCCTCTTCTTCTTTGCCGTTGACGGTATCCAAGATGGAGATACCGGGCTCATAGGGTCCTGCCCTGTTTGCGCGTAGCTTCCGCCTCACGCGTTCCCTCTCCCACTCTGCCATTGTCATGCCATCGGGCCTCTGTTCTTCCTTTGGCTGTCCTTTCCACATGGCCTTATTGTGAGGATCGTCTACAGCGCCCAAGAAACCGCCCTTGGTGTCCGTCATCTTACTAAAGTCATAGTCGATAAAGTCCTTTCTGGCGTACTTCTTCGCTGGCTGGATGTAGTCATTCGATGGTGGCTGTATGAAGCCATTCTGGTCGCGCTTTTGAGGAGATGCGGCGGCGGCATTTCGAAGTGTTGCGGGTGTCTGTGATGCGGTAATAGAGGAGTACGCGCGCTTAGTGCCTGCGACAGGTGCTGGAGATGGCTTGGATGCTTGGGCTTGTTGTGCAGTAGCCTTTGCTCTCAGTCGAGCCTCTTCCATGCGTCTAATCTGCTCTGGAGTCGGAGGGTTCGGAGGAAGCTTACCCGCGGAGCGAGTCGCTCGCGGTGGCGTTGCTGGCCGTTCGGACATGTTCGTGAATGCGAGCGTCTGAATGTCGGTATACTCTATGTAGCGTGTGAGGAGACAATGCGGGAAGAGTGCTAGTGCACGCGCAGGTGGCGAGTGTCAGTGGATCTGGGAAAGCGAGATGCGCATGCTGGACCCTGGTTCCTGAACGATGATGTGCGCCAAGAGAAACCGCGATCTGCTCCGTCCGATTCTCGTGCAAAGTCACCCTCACAGTCGAGCTTTGCAACAAGGGCTTTCACATACCGATGATGACATATCAGAATGCTGGCCGAGGAAAGGGCGGCTTATGACAAAGCGCTTTCGTTTGCGCCCTTACCAATCCACTATGACTCTTACATGTGGCTGTGGCTGTGGGTGACAGGCTTCACAGTGTCTGCTATGACGAGCCATGGATCGCTTCACAAAGTTCTTTCAATACGGCACACAGTAGTACAAGTAGCTGAGTCTTTCACAATGTGTACGCCATCACTTCTGCATCTTCGTATCTGTCCCAAGCCATGTCAAACGCGATCACACGTGCGCACGTGGCCAGCCCTACGACGATGCCGCTAATCCCTGCCACCGATCTGCAGGCTGGAGCCAAAAATCCCGAAACCCCAACACAAGAAGACGACTCCAACGACAGCGACGATAGCGGCAGGCTTACCGTGCAAAAGACGGCCAAGCAAATACGGAAGGAAAAACATCAACAGAAGAAAAAGAGACAGGAAGAAGAGCTTGCTCTGGCCGTATCCAGTCTCGACATTTCCCAGGATAAAGCACCACAGCCCACGAGCCACGGTGCCGACGCACAATTTCCAATCCCTCAACCGCTTCTAAACCGCAAAGAAAAGCGCAAGCAGAGGAAGCAACGCCACGACTCTGCTCTGCCATCACCCACGGACACCGACGCGGAACCCCCAAACAACCCACCAAAGCAAAAGCACCCCGCAGCGCTCCCTCCCTCGATAATGGCGAAACCCGCCGCTCAAACCGCTTACCCCCTTCTCGTAGCCTCCATCGGCAACCCGGGCGCCTCCTTCTCCAACACGCTGCATTCTGCCGGCCATATCCTAACCTCGCACCTCTCGCACGCAAAGAGCTACACGGCCTTCCAAAAAGGGCTTTCAGGGCTGGTCTCGCGGCCCCCACCCACCCACATGTCCTTCAGCCTGACGGGATTCCGGCGCGTAGAATCCGAACCCGACGTCTACGAAGACTGGACCTTTTGGCAATCCGCCAGCCTGATGAATGTTAGTGGGAATGGGGTGAAGAGGGCGTACAACGAGTGGTTGAGGGAGATACGCAGGGTTAGTGGGGAGAGCAGTTTGCAAGGGCGGTTGGTGGTTGTGCATGATGAGTTGGAATCTGCACTGGGCAAGGTTACGATTAGAGATGGGGCGGCGAGTGCAAAGGGACATAATGGGATTAAGAGCTGCCAGCAGCAGCTTGGGGGCGTCAAGTGGTGGAGGGTTGGTGTGGGTATTGGGAGGCCGGAGAGTAGGGATCCGAATGTTGTGAGCAAGTACGTGTTGGGGAAGATGACGGCCTTCCAGAAGAGTCAGTTGGAGAAGAGCGTCGTGCCGGTTTACAAGGCGTTGGAGGAGATTGCTGCGGGGAAGAAGTGAAGGAGTCTGGTGTGTAGCATAGCGTGGTGGAGTTCGCATTTACGGGGCGTTTTTCTTTGGGATGATACCCACTTTGCATGTTATACGAGCGCATGGCATTAGACGCATGAAGCAGTGTATGCAGTGTATGAATATCGAATGAATTCTGTAAAGAAAGCGTGTAGAGGTATCGTGCGGTTCCCAGTAGAAAATATCCGTGGGGTGAAGGTTACTCCAGTAAGTAATGCAGCCGTCCCAAAAAAACAAATCAGTGAAAGGGCGAGAGCCCAATGAATCTAATACCACCAACTCCATCCCTGCCTCCAAGATTATGAGCCTACCATCGTAGCGCCATTCTTCCTCTGCTTTTTCCTCTCTTCCAGCCTTTGCCTTGCTAGTGCTTTGCGGTCGACGGGTAGCATCTGGTTTCGGTCATGTTTGACTTGCGCAGAGCCTTCCGCATGATGCGTTGTGGTCTTTGAGGCATCAAACTTGGAGTTGGTAAGAGGTTGGCGCGAGCTCGCCTCAGCCTTCTTGGGTGCTTGCTCGCTTGACGCTTCATTGCTGTGTTTGGCTTCCCTTTTCGACACTACCGACGTTGCTTCGAGCTCAGAAACATGCGTGGCCTTTTCAGTCGTGCGATCCGTCCGCCTTGAGACTTCGGCTTTCTTCTCTGTTGCTGCAGGCCTTTCCTGTCGAGCGGATTCCGTTGGCCTAGCATGGGAAATAGACTTGGTCACTCGGTGATTCTTCTTTGGTGGTGGATTCCACTCGGGCCTCGTGTATGGCTGGCCCGTCGAAACAGGCATTGCCATCTTGTCCATTTGCGCTATCGAGCTATTGTTGTTCATCTCCATCCACGGGTCCATACCGGGCGAGGGCACAGGAAGCGGACTGGAGGGTGGTATCGCAGGTGGCGAGTCGGGTGTGTGGTTCTCTTTAGTTGGTGCAGGCTTGTGGGTCTTGGAGGGCGACGTGGGTTGCATCTCTTGCTGAGCGGGTGCGAGTGCTTTGTCAAGGGTTGCTTCAAACGGACGTGGGGGCGCGCGGGGCGACTTGCCCAAGATGATGGAGGCTTCTCCTTCCGCTGTACCTAGTCTGGAAGGCATGACGGGTCGATTCAAGGTGTCGGGAATAGTACCGCGGCGATGACGGCGAGGCTTTGGAGATGAGTTTTCTTTGGTAGATGAGGCCATGCTGTTGGATGGAGCGAAGGAAACCTCGTGATCCAGGTCCAGGCCGCGCAAAGGAGGTCGCGAGGCTTCCTTGTTTGCATCTTCGTAGATTTCAAATGGCGCTTTGCTCTGGTGGAGCACGGAGGAAGGGGCGGAGTTGGAAGATTCCAGGACAGTCACTCGTGCCTTGAGGGCTGCAATCTCGATGCTCGACGACATGCTCTCGGCCATGGCCTGGCGAAGGCGCTCTTGGAGATGTTTGTTCTGCTGCTCCAAGTCCTTCTCGCGCTGCCTGTACCGCTTGCGCTCTTGCTCCAGCTTGGTCTCAAGCTCCGTCACTTCGGCGTCCTTCTTCATGGCAAACTTCTTGGCCAGCTGTTGCTTGGCGATGACCTTCTTCATCTCCTTCTCGCTCTTGTCGGCATAGCTCTCGTACTGCTCCTTCCAGTACTTGCCAGACTCGGAACGCGGGGCTCCCAGATCAATGGTGATGTCGCTGTCATCCCTCGCCTTGGGCTTCTGGCCCGACTTGGGCTGGGTGGTGGTGCGCGCGTCTAGCAGGGCTTCGGTGAGGCGGGTGCGCGGCCGTTGTTCGCTGTCAGGGTCGAGTTTGAGTTGGGTGCCCGGCGTCCAGGGGCTGGGGAACTTTCCA